CCGTCGTCATCAACGTCCGCAAATTGTTTCGGATACTTTGCTACAATTTGCTTTGCTATAGCACGAAATTTATCTATTTCCGCATGTTTGGTAAATTCACGGACATTATCAACAATCATGTTGATAACTTTGCTTCGGCAATCTCCTGTTTTAAAGCCTTCTTCGCATTCCCGAATTACTGATTTTGGTAAGCATTGCCATGGAATTTCAAAGTCAACCCACGTTTTATTCTCTTCTGTTTCAAACGGACTCAATTCATGCGACGAGGATGAGGATGAGCTAATAGTTACAGTAGAAGCCTGAGATATAAAACTTGCACTTGCCAGTGCCACATCAGCAGACACCCAGCACTCCTCTTTTGTCAGCAAAATTAAAACTTCCTTTTCGACCATTTTCAACACTGTTTCGTCATCTATTACAGTCCCATCTGTTTCTAACACTAATGTGCTTCCATCAATTTGTAGTTTTTCTGAGGCTACAATGAATTTTCAAAACACAGTTATTTGAATAACTGCCCTTACCTTTGGCTACCAGTACTAATAACATCTGCTCGTCTTCTTCAATGGCCACGAATACCTTTTTGGTTCGTGATACGTTCCAAATTTTGAACGCTAACATTTTTGTTTACTAAAATTTAGACCAAAAATTAGGAATAATAACAGCAGCTTATGTATTTTTTTTTATTATTCACAACAATATAATAACAAACATGAAATATGCAGTTACACGTTATTTTAATTTTTAAAGATAAATTTTGAAGTTAAAATTTAATCATAAAAACATGTATTATAATAAAAATTATTTCATAATAACGTTGTACGCATAACGTTACTTTACACTGGATCTAAGTATGTATGTAAGTTTTTTTAAACTTCTACAGAACTAGAGATAAGCCAATATAGCAAAGAAACAATGTCTTTACATCTGGATAGCAGGATTTGTTTTAAAACAAAAAAATTTAGACTTATCACCTGATGATGTTACAAACTGCAGCAAAGCTTCTTTAGGTGTTATTTTCGAATAATGAATACACGCGCAATCTGTATCATCATACCTTTTTTGTACAACAAATGCGCCATTATCAAAATTTTCTACAATTTCTAATTTTTTACCAACAAAGTAAATATTTGAATATGCTTGATCAACAAGCATATACATTATTTCACATAATGAAAAATGTCCATATTGAACATCACAACCATAGCAAATACACATTCCGTCTTTGTATTCGATGCCTCTAAAAAATACTTTATTAGTTATAAAAGGGTGTTCAAATAAACAATTATCTCTAATAACAGATGACACATGTTCTGGATAATCTTTACAATTGTATGTAGTAACATTATCGGCTATTACTTTATCATTGAATGTGATTTTTTTTGAGGCAAGTACTGCTTGAAGTAATTGATGCTTCTCAGAAAACGAATGCAAAATATTTTTATAATTCGTACTATGACGTATAATATTTTTGAAAAATCTATGCTTAGATTCGAAACGAAGCGTCCACAAGTGACGCAATGGACCATACTGAATGATCAAATGGGGATAGTGAAGCATAAAGTGATGCTTTGGCCTTAAATTAGTACTTGAAAATAGTTGTTGACGCAAGCTGATATACTCAAAAATTAATGATTTCAAGTATGCCACCTGGCTCACTGAAATTTCAAAAGACATTACAAGACTACATATCTGGCGTAAAATAAGTACAAGCCTCCATACTTTGTCCAAACTATCAACTAAGTCATAAATAACTAATGGTAGAATAAACAAAAGCCGCATATTTTCACTCGCACTGCCTGGTAATTTGTCGCCTTTTTTAATTTTGGGTATTTTTTCGAATTTGGATTCATTAATAAATTTAAAGTCATGTAAATGGCAGTTGAGAGTTTCGTAAGTAAAAAATTTTTTTGAAACAAAATAATCAATTGCTAGCATAAGATCATATTGCACGACCCCTTCAAATAAGTCATGTCCTACACATGGTGGTAGACCAGGTTGACAAACATGAAAATGTTGCAATTCATTTAAGACTGAGTTAAATTTAATTCCTCTGGAAGTTTCATTCGTTAAATGAGTCAAATCAACATCTAAGTCATAGGAATATTTAGATCTAGTTGTGGAAATTTTTAAAACGTTATTTTCAAATTCGGTTTTTGTAATGTGACAATAGCGACAAAAATATTCACTTGTAGAAAAATTACATGTAAAGCCTCCTATGTGATGGCTTCCAAGATTATCGCCAGTCATCGCAATTAAAGAACCTTTAACAGTTTCCTTTGTATCAGTGTTAATAACTATTCCTTCAGTTTCTAAAATTTTAATATCTTTAATTATAGCACTAAACATATTTGAAAATCCATATTTCATTATATCTGATTCCAAACCTAAAGCTACTAGCTGTATATGATCAACCTGACACCTCAAATAGGAAGGTATATTAGCTAATACCATATACACAGCAATTACCTTATGGATTTTTTTTTGAAGAGCCCAAAGGGTTGCAAACCTCAAAAGCATCTTGATACAATATGAGACGTAATGCTTTTGAATTTTCAGTGAAAAAATGGTTACTTTGATAAACTCTTCCGTCCACTATATCGCTAATAATATTCAACTTTTTGTTTATTTCGTTTGTATCTTGTGACCAATGCTTATAAACAGCATCATTTGTCATTAAATATTTTATCGTGTTTAAAATTGGTATGTAATAGATTTTTGACCAACTGTCATTGTCCCTAAATTCTAAACATAGTGGCTCAATGTAATTAAAATGTCTTTTATAGAACTGTTTTCTAGAATAGGAAGTTCTAAGGGGGCCACTGCCTGTTTTATGAAATTTTTCAAATAAGTTATTATTTTGAAGAAAATTTTCCGGTAAAGATAAACCAATTTGAGAAAGGTTTGTAGCAAGGGATGCAGCTGAAATTTGACTAAGATCTAATAGAGACTCAATCATAGTTTGTAATCCAATATCTGTTAAAAAATGTTTCGTTTGTAGTGTCAAATACAAAGAAGCTAATGACATTAGGTAAGAATTACATTCATTATTTTCTTGCAGAATATTATTGTATGTAACCGCCTCACTACAGTCTCCCCGAAATGGGCTAGCTGATAAATTAACAGCAGGAACATTGAAGTCATGAAAACTATCATGATCGTTGTTTATCACAAGTTCATCATTTGATTTCAAAGAATGTTTACGATATATGTGAGATTTAAATTGAGGAATTTTTCTATACAACGTTTCTACACTATTACAACTCAAGAGAGGACATTTAACAACACATCCTGACCTAATATGTTCATACATGTGAGATGACAAGTCTTTCAAGGCAATACATTCAAACCTGCACATTTCTTCATTACATTTAAAACGTGGATGAGGCTGATTTGTAACGCGCGCCTGTTGACGCGAGTGTGCGCGGAAAATGTGTGACTTAAAATTGTTGTATTTAGCAAATTCATTAATACAGCCTTCATACACACATCTAAATCTGCAAACTCTTTCGTTACGATGCAAATATTGATGTCCGTTGTAACTTAATAATGCCGACGTCTTATAAGGGCACATCAAACACTCGTAATTCATCATTATTTAAATTCAACTTTCTTCGAATCAAACGAACTGCAAAAATCACCTGTACGTTTTAAACTGCATGTAAACTTGAAGAGGTTAAGTACTTACCGGTTATCGGTCAACTCCGTTGAAATTACGCAGCAAAACAAACCCACCGCTTCACCCTATTTAAATCACAAACTTGTAGGAACTATCTCACTAGAAATACTGTCAATCCACATAATAGAGCGGTAAATCAAAAGTTCGACAACAAAACAAAACTGCTCTGCTCACCACGTGTAGATTGGGAAAATGCGAGGGAAAATGAAACAGTGGGAGAGTGAGAGAATTGCATGCGATTGCACTATAAAGCGCGCGATTCGAACTGTTGCTAAACAATAATATATTGGGATTCTTATTTTTCGTTTTTTTGTTACATGTATTGTCAATGTTTAAATTTTACGCTACTGTTCATCTTCATCTGTTTAATGCAAAAAAAAATCCATTTAAAAAATTGATTATGTCTTAACTTCAACCAAAAAATATAAACTTATAATTAAAAAAATTAGCAAATCAAAACTTACTTCTTTACCTAGTTATAATTTTGAAATTTCTATAGAAATTATTTCATATTTTACAAACAATTAAGCGTTCAGTTTTTTTACCATCACTTTAATTTTATGAGTCACAGAAAAGTAAGTGATAACTTTACTCATTAACAAACAATTATTATTTGAAAATTATACATACTCTATACACTCACAATTACAATCCTGATGTTTATAAAAAATTCTATGTTTTCAATAAATAGTTGTCATAGCACTTGAACTAAAACTTTAGGTACATTATTTTATTTGTAAAAATAATAGAAATGATCAAGGTAAAACCAAAATTCTGTTCATAAAAAATGTGTTTTCACCTAGATAAACGAGCAGTTTTACATGCATAACTTGTAAAATTAGTATTATGTGTAAATGTACTTTTAATATTGTAATTATACTCTTGTGGCTAATGTATTTTTACAGTTTAGAGAGAAATGTACATGAATATGTAATTTTACTGTTATCATTGAGTTAATTTACACTGTACTGTAAGATCACATAAACTAAATATGTAAAATTACTTTGTAAATAATGTATTCTTACATGCATTTTTTACAGTGTAGCAAATATGTGCAGTTATCACATTAAACAAAATTAACATGCAGATCAATAGAGAATTATTGGTGTTTTTCTTTGTCTAACAAACTGGCTAGAACTGGGAATAACTTTATCGCCCTTATTGATTTATAGCTTGTAGATTTTCTGATCCTCTATTTTGGTTAATTATTGATAATAATAATAACCCGCTGAGTAATCTCGCTGTTAGAACTACTAAATATTAGTCTGTGCCAAAAATTGCATTAAGTTTGATGTGAAGCCGTCTTTAGACAAATCTCACTGACCTGCGTTTGCGTTAAACCTAAACTGGCGGCTAATTCTGCCCTTTCGGGCAAAGCCAGGTACTGCGTCCTTTGAAACCGCCGATTCAACTGCTGCAGCTGAAGACTTGAATATATTGTTCTTGGTTTTCTCATCTTCTTGCCCTTGCCGCCCCCCGACGGCCTCTCCAGCGATAAACACTTTTCTGCAACAAAATTGTTTGTTTTAGCAGTGGGAAGAAAGTTTCTAAAATGCGTTACGCCCACCGAGTGATTAAGATCGAGAACTTATAATGAACTCGGAGAATATTTAAATGGAGTTTTATCCTCGTTGCTTTTTTTGTGAAACATGTAAATAGGTGGGGACGTCTGAAAAAAAACTTTTTTGTCTACATATTAATGATACGTTTTTTGGCATAAAAGGGTCACAGTTCACACAGTGCTGTATTTATATCTGGCGCATTAAATTTTCACCAAAATAAATCAATGTTGGCTAAATAATGTAATATTTGTGGAGCATTGATTTATTGGTAAGTTTTGAGGTTTAGGCTGGAGTGTTTATTAGAAATGCAAATCGCAAATAGAATTTATTAATAATAATTAATAACTGGTGCGACCGCCTCTTGTCCTCTTGTGCTGGAGAAATTTAAACTAGGACGTGTATAAATCACTCGTAAAGAATTTTTTGCCACCTCTTAATGAAGCGATCAAATAATTCTGTCACAACTGAAACATTTCCTTGCTTGTGTTGGTGTTATTAATTCATGAAGCAAAAGCAAAATACTTGAGTGATAAGTTTAAATCAGTCGATAACAAATTTCAAATTTAGATTATACAACACAGTGTATTTTTAACTTAATATTAAATACGACCAGTCCTACTTTAAATCAGTTTCTCAAATCTAAATTGAAAAGAACTCAATTATTCACGATTTCGCGCCACAATTTGAAGGTTGTAGAAAAGCCAGTTTTGAGTTGTGTGAATATTGATGTCTAAACGATAAATAATCTAATTTAATTAACCAGTTTGGTAATTTTCAATAGAAACGGAACACATGTGGAACCCAAATATGATATAGACAGGTTATACTGTTTCATATAATCAATACTGTACGTTTTCAGACGACTACTAAATAATGTGTCCATTATAAGGTTGCTTTTATTTTGTACATGAAATGAAGGTACCGAAGTGATGGTCGTAAAAAAAAAATAGTGTGCAATTTGCATAAAGTACTCACTTTTAACACAGCGAATTTCCAGGATTCTATATGTGACAAATTAGTGGCGTTCGTTATACATCATTATTAAAAAATAAAGCTGTAAGAAACTGACTATTTTTCAGGAAGCTCCAATTGAAACATTACAATGTTTAGGATTTTCAAAAAATTTTATTCTCAAGACAAATTTTAGAAAATCTTGCGCTGGGACCACAAATACGGTATATTTTTCAAATCAGCACGTCGAAATCTATATCCCTGATTTTTTTTGTAAATTTTTATGCAATTTTTCTAGAAGTTCATTTTTTCAGTATTCGCACCTTATTAAATGTTCGTCAATTTTTCCACTATATTCGAAAATCAGCTAAAGACTTTTTGTAGATTGGACCTCAGAGGTTATTTTCGGCTTCATTTCCTCGAAAATTTTTGCCATTTTTCCAGAATTCCCACTTAAAATATGGCAATTTTTAGGATTCTTTAAAATTTTGACCTTCAAAATAAATATTTCCCCAAAGAGATTTCCAAATATTTTAAGCATATAAGACACTAGGAATTCTAGTAAAATACAAAATCTCAGGCGCTCCTCAAGACTTTTATCCTTAAGAATTTTCAAAAAAAAAAAAATGCTAGGCTCCTTCAAGATTCTCTTTAATATTTTAAATATAAAAAACACTAGGATCCCGGAAATTCTTTCTTAGGACCTCCCAAGATACTTGGTTGTCAAGATTCTTTCACATTTCTTCAAAAAGTGTTCGTATAAGCGTGATCCAAATCCGAAAATTTGACGATAGGTATGCAAAAATCATGAAAAATAAAAATTTTCAAATCGACCTGAAATTCTGGATTCTAGCTAACTTGAAATTGAAGAGTGCATTTTTCGATCAGTTACCCGTTTTTCCTGAAATTTTACCCGGAAATGCGTATTTTCCGGATTCGAAAAACTTTTCTCTGAGTTTAGGAGCTCATAATTCCGAAATGGGAAGACGTAGCGATTCGAGTTTGATGTCAATCGATTGCCTGAAATTTTGGGGTCGCGTTGGTCAATTTTCATCCAAAATTGTCTATTCGTTTGCGTTCCAAAGAATATATATATATAGAACGGGGTCATTTTTCAGACGGTTAAGTTATTGAAAATTTTCAAAAAATTCAGGAGGGTCCTGAGTGATTTTTTGAGCTTGAATTCTTATTCAGGAGGTTCGAATCAGTAGAGACGACAATTTTCAGAATGTTGGGTGTCGCCAAAAATGTGATGGTTGAAATGATTCAAATCCGAAAATTTGCCGATGTGCAAAAAACATGAAAAAATTAAAATTTTCAAATCGACCCGAAATTCTGGATTCTAGCTAATTTGCAACTGAAGATTACATTTTTGCCATCAGGTATTCGCTTTTCCTGAAATTTCAGACGGAAATGGGTATTTTTCGAATCGGAAGAACTTTTTTTTGAGTTTAGAAACTCATAACTCCGAAACGGAAAGACGTAGCGTTTCCAGGGTGATATCGATCGATTGCCTGAATTTTTTGAGTCGCGTTAGTCAATTTTCAACAAAGAATCTCTATTCGTTTGCGTTCGAGAGAAAGATATATGGAACAGTGTAATTTTTCAGACGGTTAAGTTATTGAAAATTTTCAAAAAATTCAGGAGGGTCCTAAGTGATTTTCTGAATCTGAATTCTTATTCAGGAGGTTCGAATTAGTAAAGACAATTTTTAGAAAGTTAGGTGTCTGCATAAACATGGTGGTCTGAAATGATCCAAATCCGAAAATTTGACGATGTGCAAAAATCATGAAAAAATGAAAATTTTCAAATTCACCCAAAATTCTGGATTCTAGCTAACTTCAAATTGAAGAGCACATTTTTTTTTCCATCAGGTACTCGCTTTTCCTGAACTTTCAGCCGGAAGTGCGCATTTTCCGGATCGAAAGAACTTTTCTTTGAGTTTAGAAGCTCATAACTATGAAACAGAAAGACGCAGCAATTCGACCTTTATGTCAGCCGATTGCCTGGAATTTTTGAGTCGTGTTGGTCAATTTTCAACCAAGATTCTCTATTCGTTTGCGTTCCAGAGAAAGATATATGGAACAGTGTCATTTTTTAGACAGTTAAGTAATTGAAAATTTTCAAAAAAATTCAGGAGGGTTCTGAGTGATTTTCTGAGCCTGAATTCGGGAGGTTCGAATTTATAGCAAAAACATTAGACTTCTAAAATCCATTCAAAAACAAATCTTCAATAAATCTCAAAATTCCTCCTAAAAAAAACACCAAAGTGTCTCTAAAATTCTGATGTATTTTCAAAAAAAAAAAATAATTAGGACACCAGCAGCCTTCAAGATTCTTTTATGTCTTTCCAATAATCCAATATCTTCAACACAAAAGAGAATAGGAGTTCTGAGATCCATTCAAAAACAAAATTTTAGGATCTTTCCAAGATTTTTGCTCTTTCATATTTTTCAAAAAAAGAAAAGAAAATACATTCAAGATTTTAAATATTTTAATCCTAAAATACGATAGGAGTTCGCAGACCGTTTTAAAATTTCAGGATCTCCCCAACATTCTTTGACATTCAGTCAAAAACAAATCATCAAGGATTCTCAAAATGCTTTCATATTTTGTTCAAAAAAAAAAATCGGAATTCCAGAATCCCAGAATTTTTAGAATTTAGAAATTTGGTTTTCAAAGCAAATATTTCGCAATTCCTGACCCGGGTCCTTACAAACGCCATATTTTTGGAATTAGCTTGTCGAGATCTATAACTAGATTTTTTGGTAGATTTTTACCCAACTTATCAAACAGCTCAATTTTTCAACCATTTTTCGACTACAAACTTTTAAAAAATAACCAAAGAGACTTTTTTGTGTGAATTTCGATCTCCATAAGTTACTTTCAGCCTCATTACTTCGAAAATTCCTACCATGTCTCCAGAATCGCCCAATGAAAATTAGCAATTTTTGATTTTTTTTTAATTCAGTTTCAAACCAAATATTTTGAAAATCTTGAGTCGGGACCATAATCGTGCTATATTTTTTGAATCAGCACGTTAAGATCTATATCTCAGATTTTTTTGTAATTTTTTACGCAACTTTTCCATGTTAAGCTCAATTTTTAATACTCCGTTCTTATGAAGTTTTCGACTATTTTTCAACCACCTTCGAAAATTAACTAACCGTTTATCCAGAGTGGCCAATATGAAATATGATAATTCTTAAAATTTTGAAAAAAAAAATGTTTTCAAACCGAATACAAATGTGGCGTGACATCATCGACTTTTAGAATATAGAATTTCGAGAAAATAAGATAAAGTATTTTTGATTTAATAAATTACAAAATTTCAAGGTTTACTTACAAAATTTTAATATTACGTCATTAAATTCTTGAAAAGGATCATTAGGTGAATATTAATGTGGTGATTTGCCACGTTCGTGATCCCTTAAAGCGTGTACAATAATTTAATAATAATTTGGTAATCTATAAAAGAATTTGTAAAAATTTTGCTGTAAACATATATTTTTTTCCAAAACCTACATCCACAAGATTAAAAATGGAGATATTTATAAAAATATTGTAATATCCATTTTTAGTGAACTGGAATGGATATTAGATAACACACAAAATCTTTAAAAACTCAAGAATAAAAAAAATCTGAGTAATTTTTACAGCCTTCAAACGGTTTCTGAAAATTTTTCAAAAATTGAAAAATCTATAAATTTTCTGATGTTCTTATGTTTGAATTTTAAATTTCTCTAAAATTGATCTAAATCTGTCAGTTTGGTAAATTTCTAGGAACTTTAGACTAATATAGAAACAATTTAATACAAACTAATTAAGAAAATTTTGACGTCCAACTATATCCAGTTTGAATGAACTTAAAATAATGTACAAAGCCTTTGGAATTCCAGAATTTTTAATAATTTTAAAAATGTAACAATAAAATTATCATTATGTTATCCCGAAACGTAGAGGTGGCTTAGATAATAATTGTTCAAAATAAAA